CTTCCCTTTGAATGATAAGTTCTTTGAACAAATTAATATTCACCAACATATAAACGTAAATTACATTTTGAAGCAATAACATGATGAATACGCAGCTATTTCAGCCTAATAAATCACAAACATGAACAATTTCGTCATTTAACATTTTTTAAAGATATAATAATTTTCTGCCATGGATTCTGTTATTGGAATTCATTGTGTTGATCCACAATATTCTGATGGTTAGCTCACACCCCATGTAAAATTGAGTGTACAGTATAAGAATCAAAATACAGAATAAACTAATTTAAACACAAAGTTGATCAAGAGTCATTCTGTATTTTGAAACCTGCTAACTGTCCAGGCTCATTTTTTAAGAAAGGGTGGATGAATACAGCTATTGAGGTAAATATACACACCAAGTATATACATGTATCCAGACTGGGGGTGGTTCATGGATATCAATAGTTCCTCTTAAGTGTATGTCTCGAAATCAGAGATTTTGTATTCAAATCCTGGTCTGTGCATCGTGCAGTTGCCCATTTCATAATTCTTTTCTTTTAATAGAGGTTCCCCATCGAGTGGCGATTGGTTCTCATGTTTATCAAACTTGAGAAACTTAATTTTCAAACTTTAGAATGACACGTTATGTTACTTGACGTCATAATTAGAAGATTGACCAATGAAATCACATCCAGCGTGTTACAAATGTTGACCAATTTCAATTAAGTTTATCCAATGAGTTTGGAATGATCTTTAGGAAACCTAAAGCGGTTGTATGAGAAAATCATGTTACCTGTGATCATGCCCAACCCTTGTAAACATACCAAATTGGAAGAAGTATCCTTTTGGACATTGATGCAAATTGAAGGCTGTGAGAAATGACGATACGAGTATAGATGGAACAAATTTGTTTTTTTTACTGGTGACACCAAATTGACTAAGCTTCATATATAGCTCCATTGGTAAAACATCTACCTGAAGTGTCTACCATCTATGTTTTGACCCCTTTATCATCATTCATAGGGATGTAGGGATCATCTGCCCCTAAAGGAGTTCTACAAAACTAAGCTAAAACGGGAATAAGTTTGAGATTCTAAAGGCAAATTTTGAGAAAGATACAAGGCAAAACGTTCCCAGAATGTGTGGTCATCAGCTGTGGCTCTGTCAAATGGCCTCTTTTGTTTTATTTCTGTGGGTTAAAAAAACTAACTAAAATAATAATATTTTGTTTTGACAATGTCAATTTAATGTTTTATGAAATTCAAGAATTTGAATCATTTATTGATTATTGTTGACAACTTTGTCATGGAAATCAATAGTAATGGGTACAAATGACCTAATGAATAATTGAGGACAAGATGGTTATTGCTGCCATGGATTGGATAGTAGGCGTTGTTTTGCATCAACATTCTCAACATCCCTTCAGCTGGTGTGTTTAGTCAACTTATGATAATTGTATAATAAACAATTATATACTTGAACGTTTTATCATCTGTAGATAACTGTTCATTCTATATAAAGGTATGTACTGTATTCATTTCATTAACTGCCAGGGCATTTATTAATATCACACACTGAAAACTTAAAAAGGAGGTGGGCAAAATAGATTTTATCAAATGTGCCAAAAACAATAGCAGTGTTACACATTGATACATGCTTCCATGTCAACATACAGCTTGGTAGACTTATTACAGCTAACATATTTGTAATGTAAGGAGAGGCCAGTTATTATTCTAAACACTTCAAACACTCATAAATAGTGTTAAGGTTGGTATCAGGAACAACAGCAAAAAGAAAGCATAAATGCTTGGTTTTGCTTTCTGACAAATCTTCACACTCTATCATTTAAGTCACAGGTGGAAAATATTAATGCTGATGTACTTTTTCTTTATTTAAGGAATTTTACCCAAAATCATTATTAGTACAGGAGACTCAGGTCAGATATGGTGCAAACCTTTAAGATAACAAATGGGATAGATAACATCAGAGATGACTTTCTAAAAATCAATGCAACAAGAACAACCAGAGGTCACCACCAGAAACTTGAAAAACTGAGGTGTAGAAGTAATCTGCGTGGCCATTCGTCAAATTAAGAATTGTAAATGATTGGAATGGTCTCTCTGATCAAGTGGTTAATGCCCCATCTCTGTTTTCTTTTAAGAACGGGTTAAACAAACACTGGATAAATCACCCCAACCAAGCTTCTACTAATTAGCTGGGTTAACACACAACTTCCAAAATGTCCAATCCAAATTCAGTACTTTTTTTTTAACTCATGAAACCTTTTAAATATCTATACTTCTAAGTACAGGTATCATTGACAGGTCTATACAGGCCTGTCAGTCCTTTTTTATTACTGAATACCCTTATCTTATATGAAATTATTATGCTACCCTTGTTATCACCCACTGCACCTGTAAATAATTTTCACTAGTTTTTGAGAAACAAGGCTTCTTCAATACCTCCTAATGCAACCGGAAGTGAAGTGGACAGAATTAAGAAGCACCTCAAGAAGCGACTGACGCTTACAACGGTGTCACAATCAATGAACCAATGAACCAATTTCGATATTATTTTCTTCATGGGGCGCACAAGTATAGCCATAATCAAATGCTATCTTCTGCATATTATAATTTAAACAATGAATTCAAGGAAATAGTACCAGAATTATACAAACTCCAGTGAGGTGAAACCAAAGTCGTAATGGTTCTCCAAGTTTTTTTTGTAGAATGCCAAAATGTAATTGCTACCGGAGACTTTAATTTATTGCGACTCATATCTTATTATCATATGTAAGATACTGGGTCTGTACTAGGTGTCATGATGTACAAATTATCATCATAGACACAGAGTAATAAGCATTGATATTAACTCATTAACCCCCAAATACACATTTGAAAACTCTTCTAATTCAAAGGTTGGAATAGTTCATTATAATTTTTCAGGGGTGAATGAGTTAATCCTTAAGGTTACAGCTGAGATTCAGGGGCGTTTCTAGGATATTTGAAAGAGGGGGTGTAGAATCAAATCTTCTGCCGAGCTGAGCGAGGCAAACGATATTTTGGACTTTTTTTTGCTAAAAAAACAGAAAATAATAAATGTGAAATGCAATTATGTAACTGTTCCTGACTTGGAGCATGTATATTTTATAGTTAAAGTGTCAGGGTTTGACATTTTTTATCAGAGTATGTGTTTAATTAATGAATATGATAAATTGCCATATTCAATACAAGATTAGCAGATTATGATCAGGTTTTTTTTTTAAAGGGGGGGGGGGGGGGGGGGGGGGGGGGGGCGTACGCCCTCACCTGCACCCACCCCTGAGATTTGCTGAAAATTCAGGGGGAAATTTGATTGCTGTTCTTACAATGAAGTAGCACCTGGGGCTCATGTGAGATTCATAGTCTTTGGTCAATCAAATGTAGCTGTATGGGATATGGATATGTAGAATTTGGGTCAGACATGAGGAATTGCAGAGATTTTTACTCGAAATTCTGAACCCAAGAGTAAAGTTTCCATATCACATACTATAGGAGTGTCACGGTTAACCGAAAGTATGGTTCACAGCAGTTCATTGGCTCACGGTTCGGTTCGCTATTTCTGTATTTCGATTCGGTTCTGAATAAGTAGGTCGTAGTCGTCAGCAATTCAGCAAAAGGCGTGTGTTGTTTGTGTTTTATCTCGAACGATACACGTCTTTGCCTAATTACTACATAGACACGATATGTGCAATCACGACTGCATTGTTTAGATATGGCAGGCTTGACAGCAAACTAAAATCTGCAGTGTGGGATTCTTTCGATTTTTTTAACACAGATGATGTTTTGTCCAAAATGGTTACCGTCTGCAAAATGTGTAAGACACAGTTTAAATATTCTACGGGACCAACATCTTCCATGTCAGCACACCCATCGAGGAAACCCGGGATATCTTTGAAATCTAAGGAGTCTACCGCTACTGTTTACATATTAAAAGATATGTAAGTGTTCAATTGTTATTATTTTGGTCATGTATACGATCAAAAACGCATACAATACAAATTTGCCTGAAACGAACCGAAAAAACAGATAACCAAACCAAAAAAAACATGAACTGTGACATCCCTATCACATACCTACATAATGATGGTATGATGGACTCTTTTCTCCAACCTCTCAACCAAAAGTGTGGCAAGACATAAACACTGCAAAAGCAACACTTTATATTCAAAGTATATGAACCATATTTGGAAAAAGCAGTAAAAAGTACAGTAAGTCTTCAGATGCTATATACACTCATGAATTAACCATCTGTAAAAAATAAGCACAGCTTTTCATTTTTTAGCTTTAATCATTCACCATGTATCATAAACAGAAACAGTTGACACATGTGTAATGATTGAAAGGTATTTTTTGTTAAGAATGGCCTTTTTTCAGTACTGAATCGATAAGATTCCACCCGCTTATTCTTATTATAACCAAAAACAATACAATACAGTAGCATTACTGGTATAAAAGTTACTAGTTTAGACCCATGCAGTTTGCATTTTCAGTACTGAACCATGCATGCAACTGTGAAGTCTGGACTAGGGACATTTTTGTTTGGGGCAAAATAGACTTGAAATACACTTCCTCTCAGTAGCAGCTCTTGATTCACTGATTGAATGTATTGAATTATTCGATATTTTACTTAATCCATCAAGTTGTTTAGAAAATGGACATGACAGATTTTGATAAAAATAAACTGAGTTGAAATGAGGGCATCCACCTGGGGAAATTCCACTTGAGCTGCACCATACAATAAACACTTGTGGTATATCTTGAAAAGAACGTTACTAAAACAAAAACACATAACGGAATAGTCAGTGTTTTGTACTAATAATAAATAACACGACCTTGTCCCAAAACCTGTGACATCTTTCATTTAGAGTGCACGGGCCCACGACTTCATGGGAATAGGGGGTCACGATTGGTGTTTTGGAACGAGGCCATTTCACGATTTCAGGGTTCGAAAAACATATTTACTACAATTATACCAACCTGGCGGACACAGCTGACGGCTGTCTACTGCTGGACATGTTTCAATCTGTTGGTTTCCAAAATAACTTCGTAATTAAGTCCACACGTGTGTCTACCAAGTTTATACTATTTTTGGGAAACCGTCTGTCCCAGATTGTTACAATTCTCCTACATCTTTACTCCACTTCGCTGCTCAGCTACGTCATAAATTGGTAATTTCTGACAATATCAGACGATGTAATCGTGATCGAATTCTGGAAAATCCGAATACATTTTGTATTAAAACAAAATTCGTATTTTCCATGAATTTACTGTCTACAATTCACAACTGTTCAGCACTTTTCCTCCATTATTTCACCTTATTTACAGATGGTTCATTCGTTATTCATCCGCGCTGTCACCGACTTTCTATCTATTTCCGTTTTGGCAAAATACGCGATTGGACTAAAGAAATACAACAGAAAATGTATTTATTGGTAAATAAACAGTATATATAGAATATGCTATCTGATAGAAGTGTTTACATTAAAAGTTAAACAAAACTAAAGAAAAAAACAATAATTTCAAACTCGGATGAAGTGCAAGACATGAGTAAAAAGGCCAAAACGGTAGGTAAGGTCACGTGATCACTTGTTTCTCATAGGGCGGGATTTGTGAAATGTTCATTTGGTGTTATTTCAATGAAACTGATTCAAGTCTTTGCGAAAAGAGTCAATAACGGAATAAGTCTTTTACATTCATTAAAATCAAACGCATAATGTATCTTTTCACAAATCTTACACAGTTGAAATTCGAATTGAAGTATTTTATTTATATTTTTATTTTTTCATTAATTTTATAGTCAAGTTGGCACAACACATAAAAACATTATTTTCTTCTTTTCTGGTTGATTTCCTCCACCATAAGTAACACTTTCTTTTGTATAAAATACCAAAAAATAATATACTGAAAAATCAATTATCGAGCGATATGTTTTTTTGACGGGATTTTTAAACATTGAAATCGATGACATGATTTAAAACAAATCGATGACTTATTAACAACAGCACATCTTCAGAGACGTATACAATATACGTAATATACGTCTCTGACATCATTTGATTGTGTTTTGCAACCAAAAACTGGCGATGAACATTTTTTTCAAGTTAGATACATTACTTAACATGTAGATCGAATATGATTTCTATAATGTTTTCTTAAAAGTCATTTGTAATCTAAAATCTCGGTATAGGATCCTTTCTGTTCTTTATTCTATTTTAAAACGCTGTTTGACCAATCGGCCATGGATGCTTCATGAAACCAACACGCCCCACAATTCTGTGCATCTGCGCAAGCAAAAATGGATAATTTCGGAACGTGGCAGTGGTATTCGCTGTATATACTCAACGGGAGGTAACTCGTATGAAAAATTGATCAAGAACTACTTAGATAGAAATTGTGAATAATATTTCGGCGAACAAAAGTCATTAATTAAATGTATAAGGAAAAAGGAGAAAGAAAACTAAAACCATGGTTGAAATGCACCAAAGTCAGAATGCCATACATAATATAGTACCGTCTCTGCATGCGTCATCCAAAGATTAGGGAGCAGTTTGAATAGTGCTATGTTAAATCACGGAATCAGGTCCGTGGTTAAATGTTCAATTTTAAAACACATTTTTATTATGATAGATACTACAACTTATCAATCAACGCTCTCTACTACGGTATTTATTTACATTGTCTTCTTTAATTAATAGGAAGGTGAACATGTGGAAAATATCTGCAGAGGATAACATAGTCTCAGAGTAGATTGTGTACTGTGAGCAACATCCTTGGGCTCCAGGTGGTATGTGGTTTACACCTTGGGGCGACGACGGGCCAGGTTACGATGAAGAGCTAGCTAGCTAGAGACCTTGCTGAATGTATTACACGTACCATTCTCTATACGGTCTGTGATGTTGTCCATCATTCCACTCGTGTACAATGCCTATACACTTCCTCGGAAAACTTAATCAATTTTCTTTGTTATTGCTGTCCGTTTTCAGTTGCAAATCCCTTTGCAGAAATAGATCGCAATTCAAAATCACTTGCTGATTCTGATTCTGATCAAGTGATTAAAAGGTAGTTAAGGGTTGTTACCAACCCCGGGGTGAACATTCATTCTAAGGGAATATCGAAGTTTACGGCATCACGACAGGATACGACTTTTATTGGTAAACATTTGTCTATGCTTACAAGATGTTTAAACTCTAAACCACATGGATCTGAATGAAAAGAAGTTCTTTACGGAGGTGTTCGAAGGCGTTTAACTGGATGATCGAGAGATTTGGTTTTGTTATGTTTGACGTCCTATCAACAGCTAAGGTCATTTTAAGGACGTGTCTCCATGTTGAAGCATTCTGAGTACAATCGTCTTCGCGGCGAGACAGCTATTCCAATAGTTTGCGACAAAGTAAACAAAAATTTGGAGAAAAATTCCATGGATGATTTAATTGACTGTTTAATGAAGGTTATCACGTGTTATCGAAAAACGTGTATGTATGATAATACTTGACAGGGACCTGGGAATTTGTTACAGCAGTATTTGGACCTAAACTAAGGTGTTCCGAGTAGTTTTACAGGTTTTATGGGTTCAGATCAATTTTAGATCAATTTTCGGTTAAAAAAAAAAATTCACCCCAATGATCGCATATATCATAATTGAGGTAAACTTGTGTTAATTACTCTGAACACCTCAGTTTAGGTCCAAATAAAGCTGTGACAAATTGTCAGGTCCCTGTGTGTCCTACTTTAAAAGAGATCTATGGATCAAATGTGACGACATTGCTTGATAGCTAGTATCTTTAAATTAGTACTTCACATATTTTTTTCCATTTTCGATTTATTACGATAAACATAAGGAAACATAAAAAGCGTCTTCGTAATGATGTACATTGTACATTATAAGTCATTCCATTAAAATATACCAAATTAAATTGTAGTGCGAAAACATCGACCTCACAAGTCATCTAACAGCGCCGTCTGGCAGGATTACAAATGTTCAATTAAATCTAAAGTCAATACCTCTGATCTGATATTTTAATTATTATTCGGCAATGTCTTGTAGTTTTCCACACAAGTTTGTGTATTTGTTTGTTATGCACTGTAGTGTAGCCTGTACATTGAAAGATGGCGGCTGCTAAAACAAGTAGAAGGTGAGTCCTCAGAACATGTTCGATTTTTCTACTTGAAAACTTTTTAGCGATCAACGGATGCACCGAAACAACAGATAATAGATCAGAGTGTTATATAATGCTAAAATTCCACTCCAGAAAAGCATCTATATTAAAGTACATTGTTTGCAGGGTGACGGGAGCCGGCAATCGGGATGTTCAGTCGACGACGAGTTTGAATTTACTAAAAAAACGAGTTCAAAAAATAATTCTGAGTATTTATGGACCCATGGTATAGGTTAAGAAGCCTTGAAAGATTTATAATAATCTAAACTGGTTGCAAAATGTCATACCAGTGGCAGATTAGTGAACATCTTACATCTTGTTTGTACTTTTATTTGACCTATCCGGACCCGGATCTGTTAGTTCAATCCGTGTTGAGGGGAGCTCGATGTGTGATCAGAAGTGACCTGTCGCCAAAAGGGGGCATTGTCCTACTCCCGGGTACGTCTTACCTGTCGACATTATCTATTTATTGGAAACAAACCCCCAAGGTAGATAGATCAACAAACTGTTAACATATTTATTGAACGCTGATAGGTGATGAACCTGTGTACTCGGCCTGATTGCTTTACCTGTATTTACACTATAANGGGGGCTTCGAACGCCCTTCTCATGACAACTAACAAGCAATGTCATCGTAAGTGATCGTAGGGGATGGGAATATACAATATTTTAGTGTAGCGGGTAATATAAAAAATTTAGCAATTAAAAGTCCATCGTCATACCTATACATACTTGACTTATTTAGTTGAATTATAATGTTGTTATATTCAAATTTCGTCTTTGACTATAATGAATATTCCAATCTTATTAAAATAAGCATATCTTAGAGGACTGTAGAGGAGCGGAATTACAAATATAATTTCATTAGATTGACGAATATTCGCATATAAACTAAATCATGAGTTTCACTGACTGACTAGTCTAATATCCAAAGGAAGTTTCTTACTCGCTGCCACCAAAACGATTTGATTTACAAGTCCTGTACGTATGATTTATTGAATGGTTGCAAGCCCAGGTAGACTTACACCAAGTACAAGTATCAAGTACTTAGATAGCAGTCTAATATATATCACAACAGAGATGTAAGTACCACGGACTCATGTATCTAAGGATGCTTATCACATGCGATGCTTCGGATGCTGGTTCTGACCTACATTTTTCGCTTCAGCGACCAGGTTAAGAAATTTGGTTAAGGTCAGTTTCTAAGTAACTACTTGTTGTACATCAACTAAACTTGCATGACTTATTTATCTTAGAGGATTCTTATCACATGTGATGCTTTACATGAAAATGTACTGGAGCAATCCGGCCATATCGCCATTGGCGGCTTCTTGTAAAAATAAATAAAAAATGTTAATGTATTAATTTGATACTTACCGGATATTTTGTATAATATGAATCATAGTCGATACGTGTTGTATGTATATCCTGTAATCCTCATTTAGTGTGCTTTATGTTCATACTTACCGGACGTTATGTTTAATTACTTGTAATTAAATGTTTCTCCTCCATTGTCTTAATGTAATATGCTTTATTTACTGTTTTATATACCGAATTCAAATCTTGCCCAGTCCCTAAAACGAATTGAATAAAATGCTAGTCTCTGTTTAAACCATTATATACTTACCTTATTCCGTCTTTTCGTATTGCAGAGTTATCTGCTCTTGTGAGCAGGTACATTGATTGTTACGTCATTTGTTTATGAGAGTAACTTCATAAATTTTTGAGAAAACGACGTAATTTTCTCACACAAACTAATGACGGAATATCACAACAGAGTCGTCTATCACCCACCTTCTATGGTTCACCATCCTGCTCTAAATATGTACATATTTGTGTTTTCTCATATTTCTGTTCTTCTTTCCTTTTCCTTGTCACTCTCGATATTTCTTTACCTATCACTTTATTCTTCAAATCCCATTTGTCACTCTTACTCTTTTCTTTCTTACTCTTCATATCCTGTTCATCGGATGACTTCATATTTTTATGAGCGTGAAACTACCACTGGCCACCTAGATATTACTAAAAATTGTCATTTGTACCCTCCTTGATGGGATGTTGTACTGATACATGGAGGTGTGCCATTGGGCTGTGTGTGTTATTGTTTATGTTAATAATTTGTTAAAATCCTGGCGACGAAGCAATTTGGATATACAGACCAGAACATTCAGTTTTAAGGTTCTGGGAAAATCTGCGCGCATCTATATATAATGCTTTCGAAATTTCACCGATTTTAATGTAGACTTGATAACTGTTGCAACAAACCATGTTTTCTTAGATATAATTAGTTCTTTTAGTTTATCCGATGTTATACTGGATTCTACACGTATAGGTCAGACTAGATCTAGCTTACTCGATCCAATTTTTTTACGCGATTCTTTATCCTTTACTGACTCCTCTGTCATAAATACAGATAGAACATTCAGTGATCACCAAGTTTGTATTACCAGTGTGAAACTACCATGTGCCTTTAAATCTGTGTATAAACGTAAGGTCTGGTTGTATAAAAGAGCCGATTCTGTAACGTTAAATAGTCTTAAATTACAGTACGACTGGAACGGGTCTTTTCTAAACTGTGAATCAGTGGATATTGCTTGTGAAACGTTTACTAACGATTTTATAGAATTTGCTACAATGTGTATACCTACTAAGGAAGTTATAATCAGGCCAAATGACAAACCTTGGATGACTTCAGAATTAATAAAAGAAAATATAAGAAATCGGGATAGGTTACATTAAATTGCTAGGAAATCAAACCGTCTTCCTTACATTCAAAAGCTTAAAAGTCGGCGTGTTAAGTGTGTTAAGAACATTGAAATTTCTATTAAAACGAGATTCCCTATTAAGAATTTACAGAACCTTTATTTTACCTATTTTAGAATATGCATGCGAATTGTGGGATGGATGCTCTAGTTTCTAATCAGAAAAGTACGAAAAAACCCAACGTGAAGCCGCTCGAATTAAAACAGGTCTCCCATCATATGCTAGTATCTATTCTTTAAATTTTGAAACAGGTTTAGAAACATTGTCTGCTAGAAGAAAAAGAAGAAAGCTTAAACTCTTGTTTAAACTGCTTATTAATCAAACACCAGACTGTTTTTCTTCCCTGTTTTCCTCCACTGTACAAACAGAAATGATTATAGAATCCCGTATTTCAGATTATCAACAACAAACTCTTCTTTTATACCGTCAACTCGATAACTCTTCTTTAAAAATTCCTGAAACTCGACGATCATTTTTCGTCCTCCTTCGTACTTGGGTAATGGGGACCGTAGGTTAAAAGTTAGCTTAGACACCGTTGCAGTTCTCTATTATGACATGTTCCGTGTGAACCTTGTGGAAACCCCTAGCTGTACTGGTGGACATATTTATGATTTTTTTATCACTTTTTCTTTCAATGTTGCCGTTATAGTATTGAAAGAACTTGAATTTTGAGGTACCATGTGACTTAGATTTGCTTTTATTTGGTAATGAAGACTTGTCGCTTGACACAAATTCGGAAGTCTTTTTATCTGTTCATAATTTCATTAAATCTAGCAAAAGATTTTAAAGAAAAGTGCTCGACGCTATTTATTTAATTATTTCAATTTCATTATCCGATGTTATTGTAATATTGTGCTATATATATATATATATATCGAATAAAAACAAATTTTTCAGCGCACGTACACTTAAAAAATATATACATTAAAAACAGAAAACAGAATATAGACTTGACATAAAGGATAGCCCTCTATACGTATACGTCATATCAAAGTATATCATTTATGCCAGATAAATCCTAAAAACAAAGGATTACGCATCTTCATTGACTCACAACAAGCATATTGACTTATGTTTGTAGGGTTATTGCTGTTGTTTATTTAATATAAACTTTATTTCATTCCAAATTAAGTTGCATTACATCACATAACATACAAAGTACAGAGGAATGGGATCCGGAAACAAGTTGAAATAACTTATATAAATCCGTTTCCGAGAATGTATCTCATTAATTTAGGGCATGATGGTATAGTTACTGAATTCTATGGAAAGAAATATAAACACTTAAAACAGTAGCTTACTTTTATACGTAGTTCAAGGGATATTTGGAATGAGAGTAAAAGAAAAGGGGTACAGGGTGGGGGGTGGGGGTGGGGGGGGGATATAGATGCCCGTGCCAATAAGAATAGAATGAGAAGAAATAGGTGATGTGAAACAAAGGATCGTTGTATAATGAATAGAACTTAGTCAAATCTTTTAGAATGGATGATGAAGGTTTGTACAGATGAAAAAATTAAGGCATTTTTGTCATCTGTAAGCTCATTATTCCCGAACAAAAGTAAATCAGTTGAGAGTGGATGATTGATTTCGTTAAATGTATGTAACCGTAGTTGAGAAAAAAGACAACAATGTAATAGATAATGTTCATTGGTTTCATTTGCTTGCATGCAAGAACACAGAGGACTATCAATTAGATTTCTCTGGTATAGATAAAACTTAAGGGAACTACACTCCATTCTTAATCTAGCATGATGTATCTGCCCAAGTCTGGTACCATTAAAGTAGAAATTTTTAATTTTGTTAGAGGGCTTGCGTAGATAGGTTTTAAGTTTATAGATTGAAGGGTCGTTCTTGACATAGTCAGGCAAGGAGTTCCAGATACTGATGGCAGATGGCAAAAAGGATTTATTATAGAGACTCGTATGACTAACTAGTGGACGAAAATTATTTGTTGTTTATTTAATTTGATTTAATCACGTTTGATATCCATGTCTGTTTACACTTACACACATTTTTTGGATACAAAAAGAACCGTGATATTAAAAACACATGGTCGTGTCATGATGATATCGACCAAAATGTTGCGAAAATTATGTTTTTTTGTTTTTTTGGACAAATCTTGGGAAACTTGGATGGTTTCTACCGTTGATCAAGAAATTAATTAGTATCAGCAGGGATGTCCACTACACATCCCTGGTATCAGTCGTACGTTAATCACTGTTTAGTAAATAAATAAAAAAGATTTTTTTATAATCCTACATATTGAAAATATTAATTTATATAGGTCTCTGTATTTGTAGATATTTTATAAAGAAATCTCCCCCAAAAAATCCAACGTGTTATTAAAGATTATAATTAGTCTGTGATTAATAAAAAACCCACTCTAAATGTTACTTCAATATTGCTTTTTGGTAGATAATTAAACTGGGCGCAGAAAACAGACCAACGATATTTACCGATGCGTTTGAAAAGTTTCAAAATTGCATAAAATTTACAAATCACGCTTCTTTCAGACAACAATATGACATTATTATCGACCCAAACGAGAAAAAATACTGAGAAATTATATAATTAGTTTTTTGACCCCAAAATATATTATTTATTATGGATTAAGTGCACACACCTAATTGAAAAGTAGAAAAATACACAATAGAACTTAATAAAGTGTTGTAATAGGACGTCTTATAAGTTTGTAGGATTTTTTCTAATTATTAATATGAGAAAGTATGTTTACTAGAATCAACACGAGATAATAAGGTCGAGTTATTTCCCCTCGACCACCTTGCAATAGTAAACAAAAACCGTTTCTTTACCCACGCCGAAAATTTACCCACAATGCACTGTTCACATGCAAATTTCAAGATGGAGTCTAAATTTGAAGTTGACGATCTTGTGTGGTAAGTGATTTGTTGTCTTAGTGATATACGGACTTGATTTCAAGATTTAAGATGTGCAAAAGTCTTATTAATTTATGTCATTCACTATTTTGTAGGGCAAAGATGAAGGGATTCCCGGCATGGCCTGGAAAGGTGAGAAGATACAAGTTGATGTAGCCGGTGCTTGATGAAAACCGGGGGGTGTTGTGGTTTACATAGTCAAGAACGAGAACTCATCCGTCGTGCAGGTTTCATTGGCAACCTTTGGAGTGGTCATTGTCACACGCAACGAAAATGAAAACATTTTGGATCATGAAGATCTCTATTTATCTCTATACCCAGTTGCTTACTTCCTATTCGCAAACATAAAACCCGTCTGACCAATTCACCCCATTGTTCTGTTGACAAGACAGACATATCAACATCCCTTCATTTAAGTAAACAGAAAGGTTTGATAAAATTCAAATAATAAATAAGTTAACACATTTACCTTATCTATTCTTAAACCGAACATATAACACATTTCTCAACTTAATCTGGTTTCTAAATTTTAGAGAATGTAAGCAAAAATACATTCAACCAGTTTTACAATTCAAACATAGTTTGCATGTGCCAAGCTGTCCAATGAAATACAAACATTCAACGGTATTGTCCACTATGTTCAGTGACATTACAGATATTATTGTTTAAACATGACATTATTTTAATGAAATGCAAGTCCAGTTAGACAAATGTGACAGTCAAAAAAGCACAACATAAGCTTCATGTGTGCTTTGTTATTCCATACAGTACAGGCTTTTGTGATAAATTTCAAAGATATTTTGTTAATTATCCAAGTCATGTTTTTAAATTGCATAATTTTGTTCACAATATCAAAAATGATACCATTTTAATCAAGTCATTGTGTTGTTTTTTTTGTAAATCTCAAGAGAAATTGTGACAGATTCATAAGGGAAACATGAAGCATGAGAACAGGAACAACATCAAAGCTAGGATAATTATAGGCAATATAAGATGAACTAGTTTGAATGTTTAAAAAAGCTCTTTCATTTGAACTAGGGTTTGAATTTGAAGTTACAAGTACAATCTGCATTTGAGAATTGGTCTCTAAATATTTACTTGTCCATGTTTAAATCAAGGATATGTTTTAAAGAAAAATAAGATTTTAAAATGTGATATTTTCATATTACTAAAAAATGAAACTTGATAAAAATGTAATAGCTGATCTTTTTTGTTCCTGCACATGCAAGAATGTTAAAACTGATTGATGATAAGTGTTAATCCAGATACTCTCACTTCTTCATTGCTGCTTTATCCATATTGGTCTTAATTGAAATGTTAAAATACAGCAAGATACCTACCCCCAAAACCTCTTCTTTCACTTTCTATATCTTAACCCTTTCTTTTTAACCTTCTTTTATTAGAATATATTATAATTGTACATGAACACACCATATCAAGTTTAAGTCAATTGGGACTATATTGATGAAAATTGTAATGTACCATATATTATCCATTGGTCACTCAGATCCTTTTTGAGACGTTTGTTATTTCAAGATATTGAGAAAAAAATTAACATGTAATTGTAGTTCAGTTTATTATTAATTTTCTGTTGTGATATCCCAATTTCTTTTTTGCTTACTTATCTTTCATGAAAACAAATTATTGTTAGGAATCAGGAATTAATGGAAAGCTTATCATATTTTCTGTAGCCTTGGTTTATTTTATTTAAATGATCGTTTATCAATTTCATTTCAGATTATTGAGCCAAAGAATGAAGTGAAGCGCCCTTCTAACAAGAAACCACACCATTTTGTTTTCTTCTTTGGTTCAGAGAATTAGTAAGTTTTTATGGTGAATTTGTGAAGGAGCCCAATTTTTCAATGATGCCATTTACAGACATCCAGTGAGCATATTTATTTTTCAGAGTGTCTTTTCATTTTGATGATGTCTTGTAAATTCCTGGAGTTTTCATCTTTGTCTTCCATTTTGTAAAGGAATTAGGAAAGAAAGTTATTATTTTTAAGATTTCTATGAAGATGAAAAACCCCATTACCCACTGTTTATAGCAGTAAGTTATTGTTAAGAAAACAGATATTGAAGTTGAATACAATGATTTGAATATGTCAAGGGAAGTTCTGTTTCTTATGATGTCTTTATATATTTCTCTTACGAACATTGAAATCATCTTGAAATTATTATGTGTTTTGAATGCATTCTGGTGACATCAATTTAAAAAAAGAGTTAATCCTTGATTAAACAATTTCATTTTCAATTTCTATTCAAAAATATTTATGATCAATACACACATTTAATTGATAAATACAGAATATGTCCAATAAGTGATATTTGTATCACAATAATCTAGCACTACAGTACAAGCAATATAAAAGTTGTATATATGTAAATTTTAATATACATATAGTGATGTATCTATAAAATAGTTCAAGGAATTGCCCAAGTGTACTGCAAAAAAAGGCTTTACCCGTTATCTAAGGTTGCTGTAGACTTTAATGAAAGCTAGTCCTATAACAATGCATCCGTATTGAGAGTAGTAACAGTATTACCTTAGGCTTATTTTATTGATTTCAATGAAAAGTGACAAGGAATGAAAATAGCAATGCTAAGGAGTTGAACTAACTTCACCCAGTTGATGAAATATTTAATCAACAGTACAAATTGTCTTATCACTGTTATTGAAAAAAAACGTTATTTTAGAATGAGCAAACTCTGACATAACCAATAGTGAAAACCAGAGAATTTGAGTCGGATCTGTAGGAAGTTGGTTTTTGACTGATAACATGTATGCTAGCTACAGATGTTCTCGTTTATATAGCTGTGTATACATTGGTAATAGAATATAAATGGTCTTCTGATGGGTCATTAAGGGAACCACATTAGTAACTAATAATGCTGGATTTTAACTTCCTATAACAATATCAAGACATTTCACATTCTCTAAACGGCAATAAATACAGAAAGGTAATTAGGATTTGGGATATATAATATACATATGTCAAAAATAGTCATTTTTGTCATTTCAAAAATCTTCCTTTTGATAAACATTTTTTGCTAAATTACAAACACACTTGCAAAACTACGTATTTTTTTCATCGAATATAACATAGGTGAAAAAATGAAACCCAGGACAGATAATAAGCTGTGTACATAGATGTTAAACCCCATACAAATAAACAAACAAGCATATAAAACTATAAGGATATCTTTCAAACAACATCTATGTGAATATCGGTATCATTTTTTTCAGAAACAACAAAATCTACTTTCAATTTTTTTGAAAGAGACTGATATTTTAATTATTATATTCACTATTGTTAAAATTAACATGCATTTTGCTAGGTTGTGTTGATTTCTATAGTATAACATGTGTCAGAAAATGTTTTATGTTTCTTGCATATAATTATGAAAGAATGACTTGACTGATGGTTTCATTCTAGTGCCTGGATTCCCGAGGACAATGTTTACCTGTACTCTGATCACAGAAACAAGTTCAAGCTGAATAATCGCATTCCCAAGGGATTCAAGGAAGCTGTAGAGGCGATAGAGGATGCTCTGAAGGCTCAGCCTACCACAGTAAGATTAGTTAGTGGGAGTGTTCAGCCTACCACAGTAAGATTAGTTGGTGGGAGTACTCAGCCTACCACAGTTAGATTAGTTGGTGGGAGTACTCAGCCTACCACAGTAAGATTAGTCGGTGTGAGTACTCAGCCTACCACAGTAAGATTAGTTGGTTGGAGTGTTCAGCCTACCACAGTAACATTAGTTGGTGGGAGTCCTCAGCCTACCACAGTAAGATTAGTTGGTTGGAGTGTTCAGCCTACCACAGTAACATTAGTTGGTGGGAGTACTCAGCCTACCACAGTAAAATTAGTTGTTGGGAGTACTCGGCCTACCACAGTAAGATTAGTCGGTGGGAGTCTTCAGCCTGCCACAGTAAGATTAGTTGGTGGGAGTACTCAGCCTACCACAGTAAAATTAGTTGTTGGGAGTACTCGGCCTACCACAGTTAGATTGGTCGGTAGGAGTTCTCAGCCTACCACAGTAAGATTAGTTGGTGGGAGTACTCTGCCTACCACAGTAAGATTAGTCGGTGGGAGTACTCAGCCTACCACAGTTAGATTAGTTGGTGGGAGTACTCAGCCTACCACAGTAAGATTAGTTGGTGGGAGTACTCAGCCTACCACAGTAAGATTAGTCAGTGAGAGTACTCAGCCTACCACAGTAAGATTAGTTGGTTGGAGTGTTCAGCCTACCACAGTAAGATTAGTTGGTGGGAGTACTCAGTCTACCACAGTGGCTACTCAAGAACACTGTAATATTACCACTATTACACAAGAATGGTATAGAATTAAAAATTTGATTTCAAAATTCAGCCAATAAAAGACTGGAACAATGAGTGGGGCTTACGCAGATATCCTAGCCAACCTCATTTAAGCAAGGGTTAACACTGATTATCAGGGTCTTTATATGGGTAAAATTTAGTACAATTAAACAGTGTAGAAAATAGGGAGAAATTATGAATATGATAAAAATAAAGAAGATAAAACAATGTACGATAGGAATGTGGCTCCCATTTCAATGCATATAGTTAATGTGGCCTGATTACAGGTTTGAATGATGTTTTTATTTAAAATGAGTTTTTTTTTTGTTACTTAGAAAACAATGATCGCAGTAGAACTACCATCAATTGATGAGGAATTGGCACAGATCTTCCCTCACAAAACTCCATCCCCCCAGAAAGATTATACCCGTGAACCTCTCACTGGTAAAAAGGTATGGTCCCTCCAGTGTGGTTAGAAGAGAAATTTCTTGTCAACCTCAAATGATTCTGTTACAGATCATATAAAATCTAATTCTCTTACAGGCAACGCAAATCCCTGGTATCTGGTATTTGAACCCTCTGTTACATGCATATGAAGTAGGGTGTTCTAAAAAAATTCAATCATCTACCTTCCTTGTAATTACTCCAGCAGTGATATTTATTAACAGATATGCTTTAACTTCACAAGTAGGTTTGATTTGAACCTACCTTGGAACTTCATATATGTTCAGAATTGGTCAAGGTTAAGGTCACTTGTGCTGAAAAGTAGAGAATTTCATTATCATACTCTTTGTCCTCACTTGAGTATTTTTATTTCCTGAGTAGTTTTGATGAAACTTTACATGTTTGCTTTGAACCTACTTTTGATGAGTTAAAATATGGGTATCATTGGTCAAAGTTCAAAGTTACTTGCTTTAGATAGCATTTCACCATAAAACTACTTGTCATCACTCTAGCAGCCTCATTTCTTGAAATGAACATTCGCATGTACATTTGTCTTGGAAGTACCTACTGCACAAGTTTAAATAATGGAGTGATTGATCCTGTTGCTAAAATTACAATTTATGGTCACAATCCTTGTAATCACTGGATGGCCATATTTCTCGTTAGATTTTCATGCAACATCTCATGCATGTTTGCCTTGGAAATATCTTAGACAAATGGGAATATAAATGTGATTGGTCAAAGGTCAAGGTTACTGTTACTTAAAATAATTTCACACTCACACTCTTTGTCATCACTCTAGTAGCTCGATATCTTCAGATTTTGATGAAACTTCACACAGGTTTATTGACCTTTGACATACTGTATTCAATATTAAGGAAAACCAAATTGAAATTTGTATTCCATTAGTTAAAAAAAGTCAGTAGCCTATGATGGATTCCAAAAGGAATTCAAAAGTTCAGTTGCCCACAGGAAATGGCTTGTGACCAATCAATAAGTAAAGCAGGGAGCAGGGGGTACCATGAACCTTGATAAATTCTTCCAGATGAAATACCATTTTGTCAAGTTCAATATATTCAAATTCTGTTTTTGTACTGAATTTCTTTGCTGCATGCATTTTTTTCTTTTGGATTAAACTGATGCAAGTGAAAAGCTGTTTCTAAATATTCACTTCACACTTGTGTTCCATACTACAAATTTGGATCAACACCAACTTGTGTTGAATTCTTATAAGTAATGATAGCAAGTAAGGTCTATTGATCGGATCAGTCCCTGGCTATTTTATTATGTGAAATAATCCTCTCCAAAATATTAAATAGTTTTTTAACTTCACTCAGAACTTGTTTTTAATGTGTGAACTTGGTTTTGTTTGTTTATTTTGCTTGTGTGTATATTTGTTTACGATTTCTGTGGGCTTTAATTTGCATGTTTTGATTTCCTTAGACAAAGTCCCCTGCACCAAACAAAATCTTCAAAAGCAGACAAAGGAAAGCAGAGCGAATGGTGAGATTAGTAAATTATTTGGCTGTTTATGTTTTTTCACCCTGCAGTTTTTAAGTTACAATGCTGGCCTGTTCTTGTTTGGCTTTTTTGTTTTCTCTGTAGAATCTTATACAGCAATCATTAGGTATATTTGGAAATCTATGGCCATCATTAATGAAAACAGTACTTCATCACAACTTCTCTGGTGCTTATGTTCATTACAATGATAAAGTTGATGTTGTCATGACAATAGTCATGCTTCATATGACAGATGTTAAATATTAATTCTGTTGCACGAAAGTGGCTTAATCACTCAACAATTATCAGTACGTTTTGGAAGGATTTTGAGATTTGTTTCAAAATTTACATGTCAAATTCCTGTCTAGCATCCCAAAATAATGAAGTGAGGCACTTGTGCTCGATCAATTTATGAAAGAAACGGACATTCTCATTTTTACAGTCCCTTGATTCTACTGCCAAACCATTGATGACAGCCAAAGACACATCAATAACCAGAAAGGTAGGATGGAACTGATGGAGAGCATCTCATATATAGTCATTGGACCTGGTAGCTTGTTATATCATCAGACTATCACAGATATCCTGATAACTGTACATAAGTCTGTATCACAGATATACTGATAACTGTACAAATCAGTATCACAGATATCATGATTACTGTATATAAGTCTGAATCACAGATATCCTGATAACTTCGTATAAATCTGCATCACAGATATCCTGACAACTGTACATAAATCTGTATCACAGATATCCTGATAACTGTACATAAGTCTGTATCACAGATATCCTGATGTGTATAAATCAGTATCACAGATATCATGATTACTGTATATAAGTCTGAATCACAGATATCCTGATAACTTCGTATAAGTCTGTATCACAGGTATCCTGATAACTTCGTATAAGTCTGTATCACAGATATCCTGATAACTTCGTATAAGTCTGTATCACAGATATCCCAGTTACTGTGTATAAGTCTATATCACAGATATCCTGATAACTGTATAGGTCTATATCACAGATTTCCTGATAATTTATAGTATCACAGGTATCCTGTTAACTGTGTATAAGACTGTATAACAGATTTCCTGGTTAATGTATATGTCAGTATCACAGATTTCCTGATAACTGAATAGGTCTATATCACAGATATCCTGATAATGTGTATATATCTGTATCACAGATATCCTGTTAACTGTGTCTAAGATTGTATAACAGATATCCTGATTACTGTATAGGTTAGTATCACAGATTTCCTGATAACTGAATAGGTCTATATCACAGATATCCTGATAATGTGGATAAATCTGTATCACAGATATCCTGTTAACTGTATAACAGATATCCTGATTACTGTATAGGTCTATATCACAGATAACCTGGTTACTGTAAAAGTCTGTATCACAGATATCCTGATAACTTTGTATAAAACTATATCACAGATATCCTAATAACTGTATATAAGTCTGTATAACAGATATCCTGGTTACTGTATAGGTCTATATCACAGATAACCTAGTTACTGTAAAAGTCTGTATCACAGATTGATAACTGTATATACGTCTGGATAACAGATATCCAGATAACTGTGTATAAATCTGTATCACAGATATCATGATAACTGTGTATAAGACTGTATAAAAGATATCCTGGTTACTGTATAGGTCTACATCACAGATATCCTGATAACTGTATATACGTCTGGATAACAGATATCCTGATAACTGTGTATAAATCTGTATCACAGATATCCTAATAACTGTATATGGGTTTGTATCACAGATATCCTTATAACTGTCTATAAGTCTATATAACAGATATCCTGGTTACTGTATAGGTCAGTATCACAGATATCCTGATAACTGTATATAAGTCTGTCACAGATATCCTGATTACTGTGTATAAGACTATATAACAGATTTCCTGATATCTTTGTATAAGTCTGTATCACAGATATCCTGATAACTGTCTATAAGTCTATATAACAGATATCCTGTTAACAGTATACAAGTCTGTATCACAGATATCCTAATAACTGTATATGGGTTTGTATCACAGATATCCTGATATCTGTGTATAAGTCTGTGTAACAGATATCCTAATAACTGTATATAAGTCTGTATAACAGATATCCTGAGAACTGTGTATAAATCTGTATCACAGATATCCTAATTACTGTGTATAAGACTGTATAACAGATATCCTGGTTACTGTATAGGTCAGTATCACAGATATCCTGATAACTGTATATAAGTCTGGATAACATATCCTGACAACTGTGTATAAATCTGTATCACAGATATCCTGATTACTGTGTATAAGCCTGTATAACAGATATCCTGGTTACTGTATAGGGCTATATCACAGATATCCTAATAACTGTATATAAGTCTGTATCACAGATATCCTGATAACTGTCTATAAGTCTATATAACAGATATCCTGTTAACGGTATACAAGTCTGTATCACAGATATCCTAATAACTGTGTACAAGTCTGTATAACAGATATCCTGATAACTGTATATAAGTCTGTATCACAGATATCCTGATAACTGTCTCTAAGTCTATATAACAGATATCCTGTTAACAGTATTCAAGTCTGTATCACAGATATCCTAATATCTGTATATGGGTTTGTATCACAGATATCCTGATAACTGTATATTAGTCTGTATAACAGATATCCTGATAACTGTGTATAAGACTATATTACAAACTGTATATGGGTTTGTATCACAGATATCCTAATAACTGGATATGGGTTTGTATCACAGATATCCTGATAACTGTATATAAGTCTGGATAACATATCCTGATAACTGTGTATAAATCTGTATCACAGATATCCTGATAACTGTGTATAAGACTGTATAACAGATATCCTGATAACTATGTATACGACTGTATAACAGATATCTTGATTACTGTGTATAAGACTGTATAACAGATATCCTGGTTACTGTATAGGTCAGTATCACAGATATTCTGTAACTGTGAATAAGATTATATCACACATATCCTGATAACTGTGTATAAATCTGTCACAGATATCCTGATAACTGTATACAAGTCTGTATCACAGATATCCTGATAACTGTATACAAGTCTGTATCACAGATTTCCTGATTACTGTGTATAAGTCTGTATCACAGATTTCCTGATTACTGTGTATAAGTCTATATTACAGATATCCTGATAACTGTGTATAAGTCTGTATCAAAGATTTCCTGATTACTGTATACAAGTCTGTATCACAGATTTCCTGATTACTGTGTATAAGTCTGTATCACAGATTTCTTGATTACTGTATACAAGTCTGTATCCCAGATTTCCTGATTACTGTGTATAAGTCTGTATCACAGATTTCCTGATTACTGTATACAAGTCTGTATCACAGATATTCTGATTACTGTGTATAATCTGTATCACAGATATCCTGATAACAGTATACAAGTCTGTATCACAGATATCCTGATAACTGTATAAAAGTCTGAATCACAGATATCCTGATAACTGTGTATAAGACTGTATAACAGATATCCTGATAACTGTGTATAAGACTATATAACAGATATCCTGATAACCGTGTATAAGACTATATAACAGATATCCTGATAACCGTGTATAAGACTATATAACAGATATCCTGATTACTGTATACAAGTCTGTATCACAGATATCCTGATAACTGTGTATAAGACTATATAACAGATATCCTGATAACTGTGTATAAGACTATATTACAGATATCCTGATAACTGTGTATAAGACTATTACAGATATCCTGATAACTGTGTATAAGACTTTATTACAGATATCCTGATAACTGTGTATAAGACTATATAACAGATATCCTGATAACTGTATATAAGATTATATAACAGATATCCTAATAACTGTTTATCAGTCTGTATCACAAATATCCTGGATAACTGTATATAAGTCCTAATCATATGTTTACTCGTAATAACACCCTTTTTGTATGTGTAATAAGTCTAAAATTTCCACAAGTTGATATCAGCCCGGGTGATATCACACACCTTTGGAGTGATATCACACCTCCTTGAAAGTGATATCACACCCCCTAGAAAAGTGATATCACATCCCCTCCCATACATTCCATAACTTTCCGGTGCAAAATAGTGAGATCAGTGATTATTTTTAATGAGATTTGGTCAAAAATGGCGAGATTTTTTCTCTGAATTTGTGAGAAATTCATGAGACATTTAAAACATAAATTATATAGCATATATCATAGTATTGAATCATTTGTGTTATTTTGAAGCCTCTTATTACTTTTTTAGAGCCAAAATTGAAGATTTATTGATATTTTAAAGGATTTTAGGAAGGTTTACACGCAACATACTGTCCAGATAAAGCTATCAACATTTAAAAGTAAATAAATCATATAAAAGGCAAAAAGAAGAGTAATTAAAAAAAGAAGAAATTCTAGAGGGATGGTCCTTGTTAACCCAGGATAGATTTTTTTTTTATCCCAAAACATTGGGAATATTTAATATTAATTTGTTGGGAAAAAATTAAGCAATAACTGCTATTTTTATATAACCAATTCTGAAGAAACTTGTTGTCTTCTGTTTATGTTATTATATTAACACTCGATCCCATCCCGACGGCAATAGAATGAATTCTGGATTCAATGTCAGTGTCCGGTTTTGATTTTATAGTCACCTCCAACATTTCCGTTTCAGTAAATCATGTTTTCAATTAACAGCTCTTATGTTGTTGTTTAATGGTAATATCAACTGTCATCACATATTAATTAGCAACTAGCCCCCACTGGATGTGGGATCACTGATTTAATTGCTTAACAGTTAATTCACACATCGCTGAGCAAGTCACCAAGCCATGCCCTGCTAAATCGGCTGGCCAAGCCATTTAGAACTTTCACACCTATGCTGCTAATTGGCCTGGCCTGTAATTTAAGTGGCTGGCATGTGACTTCAGACCTCTCAGTGACCAAGGTCAGTGTGAATCCATGTAGCTATTGTTTATTCACTAAGATTGACCAAATTTCGTTTTCTTTTCGTGAGACCTATTTAAATTTGTGAGAAATATGCCTCGCGCCGTGAGAATTTTTTCTCGGGCAGTTTTCGTAAGTCTCATGCCAAAATCGTTAGATTTTCAGATTTTTCCGCTTCGCTTATTGCTGTCTTCTTTTAATATAAGCAAAAGAATTGTTAGCATGGAATTACTGCTGTTTCATGGAAATTAATTTAAAGATTGATTTACAAAGCCCCACCCAAATTTCCGGATGGCGTCGCTTCCGAATTTGGTTTTGCCTATTAATGTTACACCTATCGTCTGCATGAATAATGATGGCGACAAGTCTGTATCACAGATATCCTAATGACTGTATAAGTCTATATTACAGATTTCCTGATAACTCTATACAAGTCTGTATCACAGATATCCTGATAACTGTGTATGGGTTTGTATCACAGATATCCTGATAACTGTATAAGTCTGTATTACAGATTTCCTGATTACTGTATACAAGTCTGTATCACAGATATCCTGATTACTGTATACAAGTCTGTATCACAGATATCCTGATAACAGTATACAAGTCTGTATCACAGATATCCTTAAAACTATATAAGTCTATATCACAGATTTCCTGATTACTGTATACAAGTCTGTATCACAGATATCCTGATAACAGTATACAAGTCTGTATCACAGATATCCTGATAACTGTATAAAAGTCTGTATCACAGATTTCCTGATAACAGTATACAAGTCTGTATCACAGATATCCTGATTACTGTGTATAAGTCTGTATCACAGATTTCCTGATTACTGTATATAAGACTATATAACAGATATCCTGATAACTGTGTATAAGTCTGTATCACAGATATCCTGATAACTGTATAAAAGTCGGTATCACAGATTTCCTGATTACTGTATATAAGACTATATAACAGATATCCTGATAACTGTGTATAAGTCTGTATCACAGATAGCCTGATAACTGTATAAAAGTCTGTATCACAGATATCCTGATAACTGTATATAAGTCTATATTACAGATATCCTGATAACTGTATACAAGTCTGCATCACAGATTTCCTGATAACTGTATAAAAGTCTGTATCACAGATTTCCTGATAACAGGTATGAATCTTCAATATGGATGGTAATACTATAATTGATGTATTTATTTGTAGTTTTGATGTTTGTTACAGAGTACAGGCTCCCTCACACCAAAGAGATTCCCGGTAAAACGCCCCGCAGGATTAGGAGGGGAGCCTCGATTAAAGAAACAAAAGATGATCGCAAAAGTACATGGATCGCCCAGTAAACTTGCATCTTCAGCTGATTCTACAAAAATCAAACCTAAATCTAGGGCAGAATTGTCATCATCTGCTTTTGTAAGTACTGACAGAGCTGTAAGAGTTGTCAGTCTGTGTTTTAGTGAGTGTTATAAATTAATGGAAATTTGTCCAAGCCTTGTCAAGTCTGTGTCTCAGAGAATGCTATCAGAAACTGTTGAATCTCTCTCGGTGTCAGCGTTATAAGAGAATGCAGAATTGTCCATTTGTTTCTTTGTGATTTTGATCAAGAAATGTAAAATTGACATTTTGTGTCTCATTCTCAGTGTTTTCAGGAATTGTAGAATTGTCAGTATGTGTCTCAATGTTATCAGGAGATGTAGAATTGTCAGTCTGTGTCTCAGTGTAATCAGGAAATGTAGAATTGTCAGTCTGTGTCTCAGTGTAATCAGAAATGTAAAATAGTCTGTCTGTGTCTCACTGTAATCAGAAAATGTAGAATTGTCAGTCTGCCTCTCAGTGTTATCAGGAGATGTAGAATTGTCAGTCTGTGTCTCATTGTTATCAGGAAATGTAGAATTGTCAGTCTGTGTCTCAGTGTAATCAGAAAATGTAGAATTTTCAGTCGGTGTCTCAGTGTTATCAGGAAATTAAGAATAGTCAGTCTGTGTCTCAGTGTAATCAGGAAATGTGGAATAGTCAGTCTGTGTCTCAATGTTATCAGGAGATGTAAAATTGTAAGTCTGTGTCTCAATGTTACCAGGAAATGTAGAATAGTCAGTCTGTGTCTCAATGTTATCAGGAAATGTATAATTGTAAGTCTGTGGCTCAATGTTATCAGGAAATGTAGAATTGTAAGTCTGTGTCTCAGTGTAATCAGTAATTGTATAATTGTAAGTCTGTGTCTCAGTGTTATCAGTAATTGTAGAATTGTAAGTCTGTGTCTCATTGTTATCAGGAGATGTAAAATTGTAAGTCTGTGTATTAATGTTATCAGTAATTGTATAATTGTAAGTCTGTGTCTCATTGTTATCAGGAGATGTAGAATTTTCAGTCGGTGTCTCAGTGTTTTCAGGAAATGAAGAATAGTCAGTCTGTGTCTCATTGTTATCAGGAGATGTAGAATTTTAAGTCTGTGTCTCATTGTTATCAGGAAATGTAGAATTGTCAGTTGGTGTCTCAGTATAATCAGGAGATGTAGAATTGTAAGTCTGTGTCTCAATGTTTTCAGAAAATGTAGAATTGTCAGTCTGCGTGTCAGTGTAATCAGGAGATGTATAATTGTAAGTCTGTGTCTCATTGTTATCAGTAATTGTATAATTGTAAGTCTGTGTCTCATTGTTATCAGTAATTGTATAATTGTAAGTCTGTGTCTAAATTTTATCAGGAGATGTAAAATTGTAAGGCTGTGTCTCAGTGTAATCAGGAAATGTAGAATAGTCAGTCTGTGTCTCAATGTTATCAGGAGATGTATAATTGTAAGTCTGTGTCTCAATGTTATCAGGAAATGTAGAATTGTAAGTCTGTGTCTAAATTTTATCAGGAGATGTAAAATTGTAAGTCTGTGTCTCAGTGTAATCAGTAATTGTATACTTGTAAGTCTGTGTCTCAGTGTTATCAGTAATTGTAGAATTGTAAGTCTGTGTCTCATTGTTATCAGGAGATGTAAAATTGTAAGTCTCTGTCTCAATGTTATCAGTAATTGTATAATTGTAAGTCTGTGTCTCATTGTTATCAGGAGATGTAGAATTTTCAGTCTGTGTCTCAGTGTTTTCAGGAAATGAAGAATAGTCAGTCTGTGTCTCAGTGTAATCAGGAAATGTAGAATAGTCAGTCTGTGTCTCATTGTTATCAGGAGATGTATAATTTTAAGTCTGTGTCTCATTGTTATCAGGAAATGTAGAATTGTCAGTCTGTGTCTCAGTGTAATCAGTAATTGTATAATTGTAAGTCTGTGTCTCAATGTTATGAGTAATTGTATAATTGTAAGTCTGTGTCTCAATGTTATCAGGAGATGTAGAATTGTAAGTCTGTGTCTCAGAGTGTAATCAGGAAATGTAGAATAGTCAGTCTGTGTCTCATTGTTATCTGGAAATGAAGAACTGTAATTCTGTGTCTCAGTGTTATCAGGAGATGTAAAATTGTAAGTCTGTGTCTCAATGTTATCAGTAATTGTATAATTGTAAGTCTGTGTCTCATTTTTATCAGGAAATGAAGAATTGTCAGTCTGTGTCTCAGTGTAATCAGGAAATGTAGAATAGTCAGTCTGTGTCAGTGTAATCAGGAAATGTAGAATTGTTTAAGTCTGTGTCTCAGTGTAATCAGGAAATGAAGAATTGTCAGTCTTTTTCTTATTGTAATCAGGAAATGTAGAATTGTCAGCCTGTTTCTCAATGTTATCAGGAAATGTAGAATTGTAAGTCTGTGTCTCAATGTGTTCAGGAAATGTAGAATTGTCAGTCTGTGTCTCAATGTTATCAGGAAATGTAGAATTGTCAGTCTGTGTCTCAGTGTAATCAGGAAACGTAGAATTGTCAGCTTGTTTCTCAGTGTTATCAGGAAATGTAGAATTGTAATTTTGTGTCTCATTGTTATCAGGAAATGTAAAATTGTCAGTCTGTGTCTAAGTGTTATCAGGAATTGTAGAATTGTATGTCTGTGTCTCAATGTTATCAGAAAATGTAGAATTGTATGTCTGTGTCTCAATGTTATCAGAAAATGTAGAATTGTCAGTCTGTGTCTCAGTGTAATCGGGAAACGTAGAATTGTCAGTCTGTGTCTCAGTGTAATCGGGAAACGTAGAATTGTAAGTTTGTGTCTCAGTGTAATCAGGTTACGTAAAATTGTCAATCTGTGTCTCAGTGTTATCAGGAGATGTATAATTGTAAGTCTGTGTCTCAATGTTTTCAGAAAATGTAGAATTGTCAGTCTGTGTGTCAGTGTAATCAGGAGATGCAGAATTGTAAGTCTGTGTCTCAATGTTATCAGGAAATGTAGAATTGTCAGTCTGTGTCTCAGTGTAATCAGGTTATGTAAAAATGTCAGTCTGTGTCTCAGTGTAATCAGGAAACGAAGAATTGTAAGTCTGTCTGAATGTTATCAGGAGATGTAGAATTGTAAGTCTGTCTCAATGTTTTCAGGAATTGTAGAATTGTCAGTCTGTGTGTCAGTGTAATCAGGAAACGTAGAATTGTAAGTTTGTGTCTCAATGTTATCAGGAGATGTAGAATTGTCAGTCGGTGTCTCAGTGTAATCAGGAAATGTAGAATTGTAAGTCAGTGTTTCAGTGTATTCAGAAAATGTAGAATTGTTAGTCGGTATATCAGTGTAATCAGGAATTGCAGAATTGTAAATCTGTCTCTCGGTGTTATCAGGAATTGTAGAATTGAAAATTTGTGTCTCGATGTTATCAGAAAATGAAGAATAGTCAGCCTGTGTCTCAGTGTAATCAGGAAACGTAGAATTGTAAATCTTTGTCTCGGTGTTATCAGGAGATGTAGAATTGTAAGTCTGTGTCTCAGTGTAATCAGGAATTGCAGAATTGTAAGTCTGTGTCTCAGCGTTATCATTAATTGTAGAATTGTAAGTATGTGGCTCAATGTTATCAGGAGATGTAGAATTGTCAGTCAGTGTTTTAGTGTAATCAGGAAATGTTGAATTGTAAGTCTGTCTCTAGGTGTTATCAGGAATTGTAGAATTGTAAGTCTGTGTCTCAGTGTTATCAGGAAATGTAGAATTGTCAGTCGGTGTCTCAGTGTAATCAGGGAATGTAGAAATGTAAGTCTGTGTCTCAGTGTAATCAGAAAATGTAGAATTGTCAGTCGGTGTCTCAGTGTAATCAGGAAATGTAGAATTGTCAGTCTGTGTGACAGTGTAATCAGGAAACGTAGAATTGTAAGTCAGTCTCAATGTGATCAGGAGATGTTGAATTGTAAGTCTGTCTCAATGTTATCAGGAGATGTAGAATTGTAAGTCTGTCTCAATGTTTTCAGGAAAGGTAGAATTGTCAGTCGGTGTCTCAGTGTAATCAGGAGATGTAGAATTGTAAGTCTGTGTCTCAGTGTAATCAGAAAATGTAGAATTGTCAGTCGGTGTCTCAGTGTAATCAGGAAATGTAGAATTGTCAGTCTGTGTGACAGTGTAATCAGGAAACGTAGAATTGTAAGTCAGTCTCAATGT